GCATTTGGCGTTTTGTAGGGGCTATCCTACCCTATAAACGAGCCGACGCGAGTGATTCCGGCCGCTGACAGCCAACTGGGGAGAATGACCGGTGAGATGGCGCGGGCATCGGGGTCCTAATCAACTCATAGCGGCGACGCGGCTATGGAAGGTTAGGACCCTGCCAGGGCGCCACCGAACGTGACCGTGGCTAATCGCCCCATCGACAGACGCAGGGCAGCCCTCGGAGGGGTGTCTGGGAGGGCGCGGGCCGCGGGACCGCCGGACCGTCGACTGGAGTGGCACGAACGGCAGTCGTCGACGGCGACGGGCGGCGAAAGGGTCGTAGAGTGAGCGAGAAGTTTCCCACCCACCCTCACCAATTAAAAGATGCGATCTTAAAATAAGTGGAACCTTACATATCCTCAATCCAGACTACATCCCGTCGTTATCACTCCGGCGGTATCGTTTTGTAGGGGCTATCCTACCCTATAAACGAGCCGACGCGAGTGGTTCCGGCCGCTGACAGCCAACTGGGGAGAATGACCGGTGAGATGGCGCGGGCATCGGGGTCCTAACCTCAGATCCTCCCACGCCTTCAGTTTTTCTCGCTCCCCGATGGCGGTCCAGTTGATTACGTCTCCTGCCCGCGGCGCAATCTCTCCACCCCCTGTGGACAATTCAGACAGCTGCAGTGGGGCAGGGCTGCAGGGCGCGGCCATAGGCGGGGGTGGGGGACAGGAGGTTCAATATTGGCCCCTCGCGCCCCGTGCGGGCTGGATCGATACACACCGGCGCCCTTCTGACGCTCACCTGGCTGTCTGGCGTTCGGAGGGTACCGGCGGGGCACCGACGCCGAGCTATATACGACCGAGCATAGACCTAACAGGCGTCCGTCCCGCCCCTCACGAATCATACAGCGCTGACACGGGCTGTGATCCGAATCATACAGCGCTGACACGGATCGCGACAAGGACCACACTCGGTTCACTGTGCCGCGCTCACAGCAACCGCACAAACACCGTCCCATGAACGTCTCATTAGTCATACGTCGACCGTGATCGATAGCGTACGGTACGGCGCCCGACTGTGACCGCAGTACGCCAAGGACAGGGTTTATTGAAGCGAACAGAGTCTCCGCTCATCTCCGTCCGGCTGTTTGTTTTTCTGCGCGCTCGTGTTTCAAACGCTGGCGTCAGGGTCGCTTTTGGTGAGCTCATGCCCCGCGGCTACCTGCTCGGCCACAGTGCAGGCCCGGGACGAGGTCACTGTTTATTTGGGAGGACTGTGATGGGCGCGTGCCGACAGGAGGTGACCGCTCCCCGTCCGAGTGACCAATTGCCCAGGGGAGAGTGCACTGGGTCGTGGGGTACGTTGGAGGTCCGCTAGGGGTATGCTGAGAGCTCATCAAAGTTCGCCGAGGTTCGATTGGTTTCTGTAAATATCGGTCAACCCAGCGATGGCAACATTCAATGATCTGAACACTTCACGGAACGTCAAACATAGCGACTATGATTGATGGGTCGCCGAAGAATCTGCAGCCATTGCTGAGCGACGGCCTGTTGCCGATCAAATCTGTGTCATCTGATCATGAATTCATTAGCTCCGGAATTCCGAGCAAAATCCTTTACTTACATAGACACGGCTGGTGCCATCAGGCCATCGAGGGTGTAGTTCCACAGCTACCACTCCGAGACCGCTTTACGTTGGTGATCTCCAGGCCTGTCTCAGTGGCTGGGCGGACGGGTAACGAAGCGGAGCGGAGCAGACGGGCTGTGGGCGGAGCGGAGTGGGAGAGGTAGCACGGGGCACGTGCCACCGACTCTAGAGGCGGACGTGCCGCTCGGCTGGAGAGGGTGTTTTGTCGATGGGCCAACTTGATAGCCTTTTTAAAATCCCGATGACAAATAGGAGAGGAACTGAACGGTCTTTTTGTGCTGGAAGGCTGGGGCTCCCGATTAACGTTGCCTGGCATGTTGCCAGGGAGACAGAAACGATGGGCAGCGGCCGCGCCATTTTTGTAGAGGATCGGCTGACCACAGCTCATTTGTATGTTTTGTTTGTGGCTGCTGCTTGTTGTTTATGGCGAGACTCATAGCCCAAGCTTTTGGTTACTTCGTTATTTATGGTGACTCACTCCCTGTAAGTCTGCCAATCAAAATTCGTGTCATTTTATGGGCTGTGAAAGCTTTATGTCGGTTCGTATAGGACAACAAAACACTAATTTTCTCCCCCTATGTGGTATCCCGAGTCATGCAGTGAATCCATTTGATATGAATCTTTAATATAAATAATTGCTCGGCTTATGAATCTGACACCTCGGCGGATGAGATAGCACGTCTGAGTTTCTTCCTGTATAAACAATAATCATGACCTACCACTTTGCATATGTGTGCAAGATTAATAGGCGACATTGAGGTCATGCACCTACTCAAAGGCGCCGAAATGAAACGTGTTCAGTTATCCTAAGTGTGCACACGAAACCAAGCTCTCCAGGACAAAATTTACATAAATTTCGCATTTTACGCTACATTTTGGTTATTCATAATGCACAAGTGTAATTTAGTAACTTCAATAACACCAATGAAAGACGATGGTGCTACTTCAGACCCAAAACAGAAGTGGAAAATAGACAAACGCCCTGGCCCCGCGTTCCCGAGCGGTAACTCCGCCGGTCGGGAGGTCGACTGGCCACCTCGGGCGGCCACAGCGGCGGTGGATAGCGAGAGAAGTGTCGGCCCCCCACCGGGCCAATCTCATTAGAGCTGTCCCACCGCGCGTCGGGAGCGCCGCACTGCGCCGAGAACGCCGCGCCACGCCGCGCCGAGCCGCTCCAGACTGTCCCAGTTTAATAATATGGAGATAAATCACGTATGCGGCGCCGTTGTTCTTCAGAAAGCTCGAGAGGGCCTTAGAGGTCCAGCTTATGACACGAGTAATGATGCCGGCCCAGTCTGTCGATATTTCACAGTTGGGTAATGACCGTTGTTTCTCGTGTTGTAGTGCGCGCCGCATGCCATTTGCCTTCTTCAAAGACGCATGTGTTTGTTAATGGAGTGGTTCGAAAGGTCATTAGGATAAGTCTGGTGTTATTACGAGCGAGCGAGCGCAGCGAGCGAAGTGAGTCTTTTCAATATAACGGAAAAATCTCAGTATGAGCGGCCCGGCCCGGCCCGGCCCGGCCCGGCCCGGCCTGTAACGCTTTTGAGAGGCTTATATCTCAGCAACCGCTGGACCGATTGGCCTGCGGTCTTTTTTGTTGGGTAGCCCCATCCCTTCTACCCCGTAATTGACTACTTTTGATACATCTCAGTGACCGCCGTGGCACGTGCCACGTGAAAAGTCAAGGGTGTTCAAGCAGTTTTGCAAAAGTAATGATTTTGAGAGGCCCATATCTCAGCAGCGGCTTGAGCGATTGTCTTGCGGTCATTTTTATAGGGTAGCTGCATCCCTTCTACCAAAGGTCGGATACTCTTCATCTATGTGAGTGACCCCCACTGCACGTGCAAAATACAACAATAAGAGGTGCCAAAATTGTTCCCATTTCAGTAGCTCGGTAATTACTGGGGCGATTTCGCTGAAAGTTGGCATACAGGTAGGCACCCACCAGGCAATGCATTCCCATGTGTTGCGGTTAGGGTGCTACTGCACGTGCGCACGTGCAGGGGGCGTTTCCAGATCTCGAGAACGGCTGGGCCGATTGCGCTCAAATTTGGTACACGGTTGGGGACCAGTTAGTAGGGTGCCGTGCAAAAGTCATTTTGGACCCCGTTTGCACGTGCGCACGTGCAGAATGCCGCTTCCAGATCTCAGGAACGGCTGGGCCGATTGCGTTCAAATTTGGCACACCGCTAGCGACCGGTTAGAAGGATGCTTTGCACAAGCCCGTTGGAAGCACCCTCTCGCCCTTCCGCACGTGCAGGGCTCACTATCTCGCTCGCTCGTTTCTCCCAAAAGGCGTTTTACTGGTGCATAGGCAAATCAAAGATGTTAAAGACAACTCTGATGTCTGAATATTCTCAAGTAAATTTGCACGTTTATTATGCTCCATTGGATCAATTTAGTTCGCTGTATTTTCAGCAAGCGCGCTCATTTTCGCCGTCATTTTCTCACTTCATGCAATCCACCAGCCACTGCCGCGCGCCCAGCCTTCCAAAATATCATGAAGACCTTCCATTGACCACATTCTGATATTCACCGCTACCAAGGAGGTCGAGAGCAGCCCACGCCACATTGCCATCGTGCAGCCGTTTACAAAGTTGCTCTCGAAAGTCAGAACCGTCTAAAGTTACATATGGTTAGGTGGTCACCAACGGCGGCACGGATCTCCGCTGTGCTGAGCACAGGAAACGAATACTAAGTCCAGACCGAACCCGCTTGGTGAGAAGAGATATGCAGACCGTGCCTGCATGTTTCTACTCCCTGGATCAACTCGTGACAACATCAACATTCACTACCGGTTCTCTCCTGGACGTGTGTATTGTACAAAATCGAAAATTTGTGCGTTCTTGTAGCGTAGCCCATTGCCACTTCAGTCCACACAAATTCGTCTACGTGACCGTCGACGTGCCTAAGCAGCGCTTAAAACCATCTATCATCCAATCTAGATCTTTTAACCGTTTGGACGTTCACTCTATCAACCTAGAGCTGCTGACTGTCGATTGGCAGGAAGTATATAACTCGACGTCGGTTGGCGACAAGTGGCAGGCCTTCTTAGATAACTTCCTACCTGTCTTCGATGACCACGCCCCCCTCAAAAATGTGCTGATAAGAAACCCTACCGCACCCCCTGTATCTGCCGCTACCCGCGAGATCATGTCCCGGCGTCGCTCCGCGTTACGCCGGCTAGGCCGCGAGTCTCCCGAGTACAAGACGCTCAACCGCTCGGTCCGTGCAGCCTTGCGCCGAGACCGCCGTCACGACCTCCAAAACGAGATCAGCGAGCGTGGGGTCAACAAAGTTTGGCAATGCATCAAATCAGTGATCGCTGGAAAGAAAGATGGTCCAAATATTCAGCCCGACCTATCTCCCGACGACCTGAACTCCTTCTTCGTTTCTGTCGGGCCCCGGATCGCCACCGAATTGAGCACCCAGAACATCAATACTGACCTAAACGTACGTCTCCCCCGAGTCGGCGCATGCTATTTTAAGCCGAGAGCCATCACTCTCGGGGAACTCGGACACACAGTGTTCAGCATGCGAAACTCCGCCGCGCGTGGCACCGACGCTATATGTATCCGGATGTTAAAAACTTGCTTCCAAACCATTGGCGACGTTATTTTGCACATCATAAACACCTCAATCACCCGTTCCGACATACCTAACTCCTGGAAACACTCTATCGTCCAACCCATCTTCAAGTCTGGCAACCCATCTGACCCCAGCAATTTCAGACCGATCTCCCTAGTTCCCGTTATCATGAAAATCATCGAGCGTGTAATCCATCGGCAGCTCTATCACTACCTCTCCCAAAACCACCTTCTTTCGTCTACCCAACACGGATTCCGCCCTCGGCACTCCACTGAGACTGCACTGCTGTCAGTCACAGATAGCATCCTTGCCGCCACCGATAGGGGTGAGATCTCAATGCTGTGCCTCATAGATCTCAGCAAATGTTTCGACGTCATCAATCATGAACTCCTTGTCAAAAAACTTGAAATGTACGGCATTGAGACCTCCTGGTTTTCTGCTTATCTCCATGGTCACACGCAGAGCGTGTCCCTGAAAGACAAAACCGGCCGTAAGATGACCTCCCGACCGCTCCCAAACACCGTGGGCGTTTTCCAGGGATCGGCGCTGGGTCCCCTGCTTTTCACAATATTCTCGAATGACCTTTCCCTATTTGCTGGAGATGCCACCGCCTATCAGTACGCCGACGACACCCAGATATTGGTGAGCGGCCCACGCGACGACATTAGGAGCCTCATCTCGCGCATGGAGGCATCACTCGCGTCACTTAACGCCTGGTTCTGCGCACACGCCCTGAAAGTCAACGCTTCTAAAACTCAACTCATGGTATTCGGTAGTCGACAAAATCTACGTAAACTGCCTCGCTTCAAAGTCTCATTCCGTGACGCTGAGCTCCAGCCGTGTACTCAGGTGGGAAACCTGGGTGTTGTATTCGACGGCGCACTCACCTGGGAGGCACACGTAGCCGAGCTGAGCCGTCGTTGCATGGGCGTACTGATCGGCCTCTCCCACGCACGACACTGTCTCCCAGACGGCATCCTCAAAACGATCGTGACGGCACTTGTCATCTCGCGCGTCCAGTACTGCCTCACTGTCTACGGAAATGGCTCCCGGAAAAACTTTGACCGGCTCCAAAAAATTATGAACTTCGCAGCACGGGTCATCTTCGGCCGCCGTAAATTCGACCACGTCTCTGGCCTCCGCGACTCGCTTGGATGGATACCTCCGAAAGCTATGGCCGATATTCAAACCCTCGTAACTGCTCAGAAAATAATAAGGAACGGCGAGCCCGAAGAACTAGCTACTATGTTCACTTATAACAGTGACGCGCGAAAGAGGTCCACCCGGCAAGACCACCTTCTCCACCTCCCACGCTCGCGGCTCGAGACAGGCAAGCGACGGTTCGGCTACCGGGCCGCGGCGCTACTCAACAGTCTGCCTCCCGGTGTCATCGAACAGCGCCCCGCCCAATTCGCCCGTGCGGCCAAGGCTGCAGTCTGTCCGGCGTTCGCGACCGCCCGACGCTGACTCATGTCAGGGGGAGAGGGTACCCGCAGCCGTGTGTGGCGCGCTGACTTGAATTGTCCGTATGTATATAGAGAGTGAGTGTCCAGTGATTAAATCGTTATGCCTGTGTTCTACTGCCCCTGCATGTTATTGTTCCAACCCGTCTCAGACTCTGGACTGTAATCGCCACGCCCCGTGTGGATTGTCCATGATTGTAATACATACATACATACATACATTTCAGTATGGGAGAGCGAACTGGTGGTAACATGACCTTGAAAAACAGATCGACATCGATATTCAGCCCCCCCCCCCGCTGGAAGTCGTTGAGCTTTTAAATGAAGCGCTCTTTTGACTTGTCTAGCCTCTACAGCACATAAACACAAACCATAGAAAGGAGCTGCGTTCGGCTGTTGGTTGTTTGTAATTTGCATATTGCAGACCACGTACAGAACCAGAGCCATTTCTCTTCGAATTATAGTAAGTGCAGAACTCCGTCACATCAGAAATCGTGATCAGGAATCACTCAGCACTCGGCAGCGGGCCGCCGTATTCAGGCAAGTGCCAGCTCATGCCGCCACAACCGTCAGGAAAACCGCACATCATCTGATATACACCTCGCCGTAAAAACGCGCTGTAAAACACCGGCCATGCTGTGAGCCCGTGAAACCCCTACTTCTCGCAGCCACCCGCCGTACCGCTACACCGTCAGCGTCCGTCAGCGGCTCCGCGAGCGGCCGATGACGTCCATCCGCCGGCGCCGGCCACCCAGGGCCGATGACGACCTCCCGGGGGCGGCACGTGCGCTCGGCGGCCACCCACCGGCCGACAGGACCCATCCGGTGCCGTGAAAGTCCCGAACTCCGCACCGGCCCACAGTGATAGACATGCAGCCGAGGACCGGATTTTGTAGCGACGCACCGCCTCCATCACGCTTCATTTGTGTTGTTTCAGTTTCACTGCGGGATTTCGTTTCACAACGCGTGTCTGGGAGTTTGGCCGGCGCCTGTGATGCATTCCTGATGACGGGCATTGCGTCGTAAAAGGCGTGTTTTGCATATTTCTGTCGGCTGGACGATCGTAATGTCCGGTAAGACCGCGCTTACCGGCCATATTTTTATCATACGCTTACGGAGGCGATGTGGTATGAATGGCGCGCCGCCTACCTCGAGCTTACGTGCGAGTGATTGAACGTGTAGCGGAATTCGATTGCTTCATTGGAGGCCCATTGTGCACAAACCGTGGCGAAATTCGAGCACATTGACTTCCAAAATACATTGTTGATAGGGTTTCACCATCGTCATGCACCGCCTTATTGTCATCACCTGTAAGCATGTTTGAAAGTGCGACCTTTTTCGCTCAAAAAGTGTTTGGATAAAAGTGTTAGGGAAAAATCGATTTAAAGGAAACAATGAAAAATGAAAAGCATTAAAATGTACCGCTTAGAACTATTTAGACTACTAAATCGAAACAAGAAATAAAAAACTGCGGTACGATTCAGTTCGAACGCACTTTGGCTGAGATTGCACCCATCGGCGCGAGTCCCTCTGCTCGCCAAATGTCCCCATGGCCTTTTAGACATGGTTTCTGGTTTGCATGCTTGTGCAGTCTGACACGAGATGTCATAAACCGTACACGGCACACGAGTGACGGTGACCAATCAGCGACCGGTGCCGTGACAGAGACCGAGTAATTGTCCCGACACGCTACGCCCCAGTCGGAACGGTGCTGGCCCTCAGTCGACTCAGTAGCATGGGAAGACGACGGGCTAAAAGGGTGTGATTTGTGAAGCTTGATGGGGAACTTCCGATTAAATAGGGTCGCGAGAAGGCTATTTCGAGGGAGGAAGACCCTTGAGCCGGGTGATTTTCGAGGGCAGGGATATCTCAACGAGAGGTCCTTGCCCGGAGGTATGCTCGGCCGGTGGTCGATTTGGTGGCACCACTGGGCCGTCGCTCAGTGGGTTAATTGAGCGTATCGTCACCGCCGGCAGATAAGCTAACCACAGCCGATCGGGCCGCCGCTAAACACCGGCCATAAAATTAGGCGGAGCCGGTGCGGGCCGGGCTGGTGGCCACACTCGCCTCTGATCGCCGCGGTGTGCCGTTTTTCGCCTCGGTAACTATGGGCCGCCGGCCGGCGCCGCAGGTCAGTTTGTCCATCGATGGACGCCCGCTGTCCATTGAGCTTGTACCCGATGGACGCCCGCTGTCCAGTGGGCTTGTACCCGGCCCAATTAAGGCTAACGTATGGATCAGACAACATCATTTGACAAACGATAATCGCATGTGAGGCTCATACCAGCTGGGAAGAAATCCCGAAGCACCCCAGACGAGTCTGTATCGGCGGTTTGGATCGTCTCTCGTCCACAGGTCAGGAGAGCAGGTGCGCCGGAGAGATTTCCGTGGCGTGCGTGCGTGCACGAGATGCTTCGACCTCCAGGCTGAGGTGCGCTCAAATGACACCATCTGCTCATTAACCGGTGAAAGAGAGCGCTCGTACACGCAACCGTGCTTAAGCGTTTTCAATCAGGGTTTTTTGACGTCGCGTGCGACCGCGCGAGCGTGACAGAGGGGGCGGTCAGGGGTCGCCGCGCTGGTCTGTGTCGCTGGCTGTGTCACCGGACAGAGTTTAACCGGGGTGGCCCCTGAACGGGCAGCTTTCTCCAGCCAGGCTCCGGGGAATGAGCCTCTGCCTTTGAATCTAGCCCTAATAAATGCACGCCGAGTCCGCCGCGCCCGGAGATGGTTGTAATGATCATCGCGCTTCAGCCGGCGGTAAAAACGCTAATCGTGCTCAGTGTCATTCAGGATCGATGTTTTATGATTTAACAACATAAGGCTGTAAAGACATGAAACCGCAGAACATTTGTGTTTGCTTTCTCAACGACTGAATAAACTGTGGTATGATATGTGGTTGCCTGTCTTTTAATTACAAAAAAAAAACGTTTTTTAAGCAATCTGATTTACTAAAAGCTAAAGCTTTGAAAAAAGTTCCACACCTAAACGCTTCTGATATCTGGCAAGAAGTGCGGTAGCCGAGATCTAACAAGCACTCAAAGTCTCTGGTAGTTAATTCGTATCTCCCAAAGTCAGCATTACTGACCAGTTGCGTAAGTGGTCAGCGGCGACCTTGTCGCTCTGGTCGGCCGACCGGGTGACCGCTCCACTAGTGAGCACGCACTGGCCGCGCACGGACTCTGGGTCACTCAGCGACCTCGGCGGGCGCCCCAAAAACTGGACCAGGCGCCCGCACCGGTCCCCGGCCTCAACTCAGCTCACCGGCTGCCGACGGGCGCAGTAACACGGCTGACACTGCCCAGTGACCACACACAGGTCACAGAACGAAGGTCATATTGCAGGTCACGACGCAGGTCACATGGTTTGGTGCAGGTCATGGCGTGTGTCACATTTGCTGAACCACATGTCATGGCTTTGCCAAGCGAGGATGCAATTTGTTGCACTTCTCCCCAAACCGGCTATGAAAGAGAAATAAATAGCTAACCGGCGAAAACATACTTGCTGTGGCACGCTGCGTTTGACAGCCCTTGGCGAGGGACCGAGTTTCCTTGACCTTCGTCCGTGGCCGCTGGGGCGCTCTATAAATAAAATCCCCGCTGGCGCGCCCTGACGGCACTGCCTGACCAACCCATTCGCAGCAAGTTCAGCGGGTGGTTTCACGGCGCTCAACCAGCTCTGGTAGGCCCGTGCCTCCTCCGCGGGATTACTGAACAGCGCGGCCCGTACTGTAGTCTGCCAGTGTAATAAACAGTCACTGACCGACACTTGTGCCGACGGAACACACTCATAAACAGATAAGCTTTATTCGTGTCTAGCTGCTGACAGATTTCCAACACAGCCCCTGTGAGCTGCAAAGCCGAGCGCTACATGACAATGAATTTGTTGCAGCGCTAAGTACTAGATAAGATAGGTGGCGGTGGGGAAGGTTGCGAGACTACCTGGTAAGTGGTCCTTGCAGGGCGGCCTCTGAGCAGCTGAGGCCGAGTAACGAGCGGTCTCGGCGCGGCCGCAGCTTTACAGTGTGTGTGCACACTTCAAATTAGGCCCTCTGAGAGCGGGCCGAGGCCGAGCAGCGCGCTCCGGCCGGCCGGACCCGGTCCGCGCCGCTTGCATGTCTACACCGTCAGCACCACTGGTTTGAGTGCCGAATAGTGACCGCCTCATCACCCTAATTCAGACGGTCGGCCTTTCGCGGCTCTTCTCGGGGCGTTTTACAGCACCATTCGCCAGGTAACCGACTTCATTAACAGTGTCGCTCCCCGGTCAGCCGAGCGCGCCCGGCTCCGCGGGGAATGCGCCAGGCCGCTGCACTGGGGCTGCGCTGCACTCATGGCTGCAACAACTGCCCGACTGCCCTCCTCGGGGCATCCTGTGCATCCCGTGCGTTCCCCTCAGCGCACATCGTCTTACATAAGACACGCTGCGTCGCTCTGTATATCCGCTCCCCCACTCTCTGGACCCGCTGGCCGCTCTGGTCCACCTCTGTCGGTCCGCGCGGGCCGGCCGGTCCGACGGCTATCGGCCACCTGTCGACAGTCGACACGTCGTGTCGGCCAGGCCGCTCTCCGAGCCGTGCGCCGTGACTGGTCAGTCGTCGCGCCGCTCCGGTTCGGCTCGGCTCGTTACGGACGCCCCGCGGCCACCGGCGGCGCCGCCGTCATCGGCGCCATCAACGCCGAACGGCCGTCATCGGCGCCATCAACGCCGAGCGGCCGACATCGGACCGACAGTCTGGTGCGATGAGTGTAGACGAGAAGATTGGCGTGCCCATGATATACCTCAATCCGTGCATACCTCCGACGTGCTTGCAGTATGGTTCTGCTGACTGCTTGCCTTGTTTCCTCAGACTCTTTAAAAAGCTCATGAAATGTTTTTTTCCTCACTATCTCAAACTGATCCGATCTGTTGC